GCGCAGAATCGAGAAAGGCAGAATCACAGCTCCACTGTGCCCCAGAGAGGACATGCGGGAGGCTGCTGGGGACATGCAGTCTTGCACCTGCCATGGCTCCCGGTGGCGTCACCAGGTCCCAACTCACCCTGTCCATGGGCCTCCACCCACATCCCAAGAACCTGTCCTTTGAGGCACAGTCTGATCATCACTTTCATTGTGGCCTGGCCCTGGCAGGCAGGTTCTTCCTATCCCCTACTAACTCCATTTCCAATGCATCAGGTTCTCCCTCCTTCCGCCCTCCCTCCCTGTCCCTACCCCCCCCCCCCCACGCTTCCCAGTACACTGCAGTTTTCAGCCGTTTCTGTAGCTGCGCTTAGACACTCAGTAAGAACCTGAGTTTACACCAGGGCAGGGACCACACCACTACCCTGGAGGGCAGGTACCCTGTGCCAGGAGCTAGGGTTACCTTGAAGCCCTCTTCGAATGCACAGATGATTCTAGGCCTCGTTCCATAAACTGTGGTTCATAATGAATGGACACACTGATTTCTTCTAAGTCTTTTCTGTTTACAAGTCCAAACACTTTTATTCATTTTAAATTAGTATCTTGAATATTTTTCCTTTGTGGTTTCCTGTGTTTTCCAAATGTTCTTCAATGATGAGGAAATTAGAAAATACTTTAATAAAATTAGTGGGGTTTTTTGTTGTTTTGTTTTTTTAAAAAAGTAAGTTAAAGAACAGCCAGCCGTGTTTACTCGGGGCCCAACAGAATGGAAATAAAACGATGCTGTGGTGCCATCTAGTGACACTGAGGTGACAAAGCCAAAATAAGTCTGAAAGCTTAAAACTACCAGGGTCCAGGGAGTCCTCCCAAGGCTCTGGGGAGAGAAGGAGACTTCTTTCTCATTTCCCAGAATCCCTGAGGTCCTCAGGGGAAGGCGAGTGTCCTCAATTACAAATGGGCAGGAGGTGCCAACTGTCCCCCCAGCTTGCCTTACCTGACAGTAATTCTGACACTTTGGAGAAGGGAGCTGGAGATGGGACGGGCTGGGTAGGGTCCCTGCCATCAGGGGCGGAGAGTACTGGAAGTAGCTCCTGACTCACCTACACACCTGACAGGTGGGATACTTCTTGTCCTGCACTCTGCTGAGGGGACCACAGGAGGGGGTGCCATATTCAGGCCACCGCAGTGAGTTAAATTCAGTGGAAGAAACAATCCCCGTTAGAATCTCAAGACACAGAGCTGGAGGTGTAGGGAGTCGACAGGCCAGGTGTGACCGTGGACACCTGCTCTTTGTGGCAAGTCCCGTTGTTCAGAGTTGCACTTAGAGTCTTGGCCCATCACAGGCCAAGTCCCTGGCACCACCCAAAACTGTCATGTGCTCTTGTGCAGCAGAGCGAAGGCAGCAGGAATGTTCAGGGAAATTATGAAAGGTGGCAAACGCTGGTGCCATTCTGACACTATGACAATAGAAATAGGGATTTCTTCACTTCTTTCTCTAATCAGAGGGCTCAGGGGTCAGCAGATGACTTCCACTCTTCCTTGGGGATCAGGTGCCACTTTCCTCGTCATCTCTCCCCTCTTCGGCCATTCCTTCCTTTTGGTCACAAAGTCCCATTCCTTTTACCTCTGGGACCTGCGGCATCTCTGGGGGTCCGGCCGCTCCTCTCCACCTGATGCATCTGGCCCCCAAGAGCTGCAACAGCTCCCTGCCCTCTTCAGGGCCTGCCCCGCACTGCAGCTATGGCAATCCTGAATGATTCTTTTTCTTTCTTTTCTTTTCTTCTTTCCTTCCTTCCTTCCTTCCTTCCTTCCTTCCTTCCTTCCTTCCTTCCTTCCTTCTTCCTTCCTTCCTCTCTTTTCTTTCTTTCTTTCTTTCTTTCTTTCTTTCTTTCTTTCTTTCTTTCTTTCATTCTTTTTTTGGTAGGTAGATATGGTTGATTAAGTCGCTCTACTTTTTTTTAAAAATTTATTTGAGAAAGAGAGTGAGCACAGAGGGAGAATGAGAGGGAGAAGCAGACTCTGTTGAGCAGGGAGCCCGGCATGGGGCTTGTTCCCAGGACCCTGAGTTCATGAGCTGAGCTGAAGGCAGATGTTGAACCAATGAAACAACCCAGGCACCCCTACTTTTCTCTTTAAGATTTATTTAAGAGAAAGAGAGTGTGTGTAAGTGTGCAGGGGTAGGGTAGGGACAGAAGGAAAGGCAGAGAGACAACCTCCAAAAGACTGTGCTGAAAGAGGAGCCCAGTGTGGGGTTTGATCTCATGATCCTGAGATCATGACCTGAGCAGAAACCAAGAGCCAGTCATTTAACTCAGAGCCACCAAATGCCCCTAAGTCACTCTACTTCTAAAATTCTTTCATGACTTCCTTGCTCTTAGGATTGATTCCAAATCCTTAATGTGACTTACAGGCAAGTCCTTCTAAATCTGACCCCTGCCTATTTTTCCTGTCTCCTCTTCTGCCAGCCATCCACATCCCACATTCCTGCCAGCACGCACCACCACCCTGATCTCAGGCACCCACCCGCCCCCTCCCCAACTTCTTCCCTCTATCAAGTCTCAGCATACATCACATCTCCCAGGGGACATTCCTTCACCCAAGACCAGGGTGGGTCCCTTTTTCAATTTTACTCCCCAAGTGCCCTGCTCTGTCCTGCCTCCATACCAGCAGCATACCTCAGTTACCTGTTGCATAGCCGCCTTCCCTGCAGGAATGTGACTGTCTGGGGCTGGGGCCACGTGGATCTTGTTGACCTTGTTTCTAGCTGCAGCCCTAGGCCAAACACAGAGCCTGGCACATTAAGGCAGCAGCTGAGAGTCCTAGCTGAGAGCTCGGTATGAGAGACAGGTGAATGCAGGTTCAAATTTGGTATAGGGGACTTCTATCTGTTGCTCCATAGATACTTAATGAGTGACTGAAATAATGAATTAGTGACCCAAAATGGCATTTGACATAGTTAATTTTACTTATTTATATATTTAAAGATTTTATGAGAGATATAGAGACTGAGAGCATGAGCAGTGGAAGGGGCAGAGGGAGGAGAAGCAGGTGCTCCACTGAGCAGGGAGCTGGAAGCAGGCTCAATTCCAGGACCCCGGAATCATGACCTGAGCCAAAGGTAGACACTTAACCGACTGACCCACCCAGGCACCCCTTACATGGTAATTTTAAAGCCAGATGAAAGAACCTTCCATCTTACTTAAGTAAAAAAGAAAGGAAAAACCTAAATTTTAAGGGTATATCACAAATCCAAGTAGAAGTTTATGTGAATCAACTGCCTCCTTGGTAGGTGGTCTGTGCATCATGTAATATAGGGTTCAAGTCCGATGCCTAGTGAAGGTACAGGAAACAAGCAACCAACAATCTACAGCCTGGAAGAATAAGATACTAAATTGCCATTTACTATAGCTCAGTGTTGTTTAATAATTCAACAGTCACTTCTTACAATCCATATAACTAAAACAGCTTCCAAATCCTTGACATGACTTGCAGACAAGCCCTTCTAAATCTGGCCCCTGCCCATTTAATTTAATTCAAATATTTAATTGGATAATGGAATATAATTCAAGGATTTTGCAAGAATAATTACTGTTTATCTTGATAACATGTAGCTTAAGGTCAACATCAGCCATGCTATAAAAACTGATAAAGTGAACTAGAATACAGAAGACTATCCGGGCTTATTGACCTTCCCAAAGGACCTAGGGGGGGGAAAAAAAAAAAAAAAAAAACCTGTATCACAGACCATATCTATTTTTGCAAAATGATGCATCTGTAAGGCAGATGTATACAAACAAGGCACTCGAAGACCTTCCAAGGGGTACAGACACCAGCAGCTTTAAGGAAATGATTGATCAGATCCTCAACCTCTATATGTATTTTTCCTAAAATTGGACTGCTTAAGATATTGCCTCCCCTTTCTCGGTTTCCTGTTTCCTACTATATGAAAGAAGCACAGACTCTCATCCACCCTAATTCTTAGATGATATCAAAACCTCCACATTGTCTAACAGACAATTCAGTATCTGTGGGTCTCCTTGAATGAGGCAGTGCAATGGTTTTTCTATGTATACAACAATCTAATAAGGGTGAAGGACGGCATTAGAAATGGGGCTGTTTGGAGCCACACTGGGCTGTTCCAAATTCATGTATATGTTTAAGAAATATACTAATAAAAATATATATAGTAGAATGAAATGGGAGTGATGTGGCTTTTATATAAGGATTTTGCCCTTTTTACCTCCTTATTATTTCTTAACACTATCATCTTTGAGCTAGAGTTCTGTGACAGCAAAGCAAATAAACACTGACTCAGGGAGGGAAACACAGCACTAGGTTTTCTTTACACCCTTTCCTTCCTCCCTCCTTCCCTCTTTCTCCAACCTACATCTATCCATCCATCCATCCATCCATCCAACCTTCCTTTCTTGCATCCATCCAATCTTCCTTTCTTGTATCCATCCATCCAATCTTCTTTTTTTCCAATCATCCATTCAACCTTCCTTCCTATTATTATTAAATGCAAAATTTAGAATTTTAGAAGCGAACTCAAGAAAAGATAAGGCGAGACTCAGTAGACAGGATATTTCCTTCAATGGAGTGCTACCCTAAAACCTCTGTCCCATGTCCCTGGGTTCTACCTTTCAGCCAAAACCTGGTCCCATCTGGCAGCAGCAGCCCATGCTCAGCCCCATAGGAGGATGGCTGCAAATTATCTCTGCCCAGGACAGCTCCTTCCTCCTGGGCAGCTGCCATCCAGATGCAAAGCCACCGGGCAGGGCACCCCCATAGTTTCGTTTCCCCTGCACCTGGGCTTGCCCTACGAGACAGGGAGCACACATGGGAACCCTCCTGTTGTCACATACAGCTGACAGGACTCTGTGCAAATCTTCTACGCTCAGCACAGGTGTCCTGCCCAGAATGTCCCCCTCCCCACACACGTGCAGAATGTCAGAGGCATAGTGGGCTGAGGAAGCCCAGGGCCCCTCTTTCATCCTGCAAAGAAGGAAACTTACCTGAAGAGTGATGGGACAAAGGAGGACCGGTCTGGCCTCGCATCAACTGCATCTGGGCTTTCTGAGTCCCCAGCTGCCTGCTCCATACCACAGTCTTGATCATCTGCCATCTGGAAAGAGAAAAACAAACCAGAACATTGGTATCTAGTGGCATTGCTGGCCTCAGGATATTTTTAAGCAGCACTTCCTAGGTGTTAACAGTTTTTAATTAAGCCTGGAGGTGAGCAATCTTGCATACACAGGCTCCAGGGCTATTGTATCAACAATTCATTCAAATGCTTGAGCACCAACTTTATTTCAGGCACTGTTCCAGAGATGGATGAGACAGCAGCAAAGGAAACAAAATCTGTGCCCTTAGGGAGCTTCTCATCCGACATCCAAGATTTTGTTAAAAGTTCCCTGTGTATAAGAAGTTGTGGATTTTTTTGTTTCTTGGGTGATCTATAAAGAACTTCTTAAAATCAACACCCAAGAAACAAAAAACCCAATCATGAAATCGGCAGCAGACATGAACAGAAATTTCTCCAAAGAAGACATAGACATGGCCAACAAGCACATGAGAAAATGCACCGCATCACTTGCCATCCGGGAAATACAAATCAAAACCACAATGAGCTATCACCTCACACGGGTGAGAATTGCGAAAATTAACAAGACAGGAAACAACAAATGTTGAAGAGGATGTGGGGAAAGGGGAACCCTCTTGCACCGTTGATGGGAATGTGAACTGGTGCAGCCACTCTAGAAAACAGTGTGGAGCTTCCTCAAGAATTTAAAAATAGACCTGCCCTACGACCCAGCAATTGCACTACTGGGGATTTACGCCAAAGATACAGATGCAGTGAAACAGCAGGACACCTGCACCCCAATGTTCATAGCAGCAAGGTCCACAATAGCCAAACTGTGGAAGGAGCCATGATGTCCTTCAACAGGTGAATGGATAAAGAAGATGTGGTCTATGTATACAATGGAATATTACTCAGCCATCAGAAGAGATGAATACCCATCATTTGCTTTGACGTGGATGGAACTGGAGAGTATTATGCTGAGTGAAGTAAGTCAATTGGAGAAGGACAATCATCATATGGTTTCACTCATACGTGGGATATAAGAAATAGTGAAAGGGATTATAAGGGGAAAGAGAGGGAACTGAGTGGGAAAAATTAGAGAGGAAGACAAACCATGATAGATTCCTAACTCTGGGAAACAAATAAAGGGTTGTGGAAGGGGAGGTGCGTGAGGGGATGGGGTAACTGGGTGATGGGCATTGAGGAAGGCACTTGATGGGATGAGCAGTGGGTGTTATACTGTATGTTGGCAAATTGAATTTAAATTAAAAAAATGTTTAAAAAAAAACAAGAAGCTGTGGAAAGTCCGTCAAGGTCTGTAGCAACAAGAAACTCCCCCAATATTTCTGACAGGCTATAAAGTGCTCAGCCTTTTCCTGGCATCACTCAAACCCAATTAAAAAACAGTAGGAATCTGAGATGTAAGCTCTCTGTATTAGATTCTTTTATTACATGTTTCTACCAAAATAGATTTCCAGCAAGTTATTTTCCTACTCAAGAATCTTCAAGAGATCCCTACTGTCTAAAAAGTTCAACTCTGGGGCACCTGGGTGGCTCAGTGGTTGAGCATCTGTCTTTGGCTCAGGTTGTGATCCTGGGGTCCTGGGATCGAGTCCTATATCAGGCTTCTCACAGGGAGCCTGCTTCTCACTTTGCCTACGTCTCTGCCTCTCTCTGTGTCTGTGTCTCTCATGAATAAATAAATAAAATCCTCAAAAAACAAAAAAACCCCACAAAGTTCAAATCTAAACTGATCTCCCTAGATTTTAAGACCCTTCATCATGGGATCCCTGGGTGGCTCAGTGGTTTAGTGCCTGCCTTAGGCCCAGGGCGTGATCCTGGAGTCCTGGGATCGAGTCCCGCATCAGGCTCCCTGCATGGAGCCTGTGTCTCCCTCTGCCTGTGTCTCTGCCTCTCTCTCTCTCTGTCTCTCTCTCTCTGTCTCTCATGAATAAATAAATAAAATCTTTAAAAAAAAAAAAGACCCTTCATCATCTAGTACTGGATCTGCAAACTATGCCCACCACTTGTTTTTACAAATAAAGTTTTACTGAAAAACAAAGATACCCATTCGTTTATATATTGCCTATGGCTGCCTTCCTTTCACAACCAGAATTGAGCAATTGTGATCGAGATCATGTGGCCTAAGAAGCCTAGAATATTTACTACCTGGCCCTTTACAAAAAAAGTAGGGTCTCCTACTAATCTACTACTTTCTCTGCTTCAAAGAGTTAAAAATAACAATAAGAATAGAAACTGACTGGAGTCCCTGGATGGCTCAGTTGGTTGAGCTTCTGCTTTCCAGCTCAAGTAATGATCTCAGGGTGCTGGGATTGAGCCCCACGTCAGACTCCCTGCTCTGTGTGGAGTCTGCTTCTCCCTCTCCCTCTGCCCCTCCCCCCTGCTCGTTTGTTTTCTCTCTCTCTCTCAAATAAACAAAATCTTAAAAAAAGAATAAAAACTGACTCATTATTTATGTGTTTTATAAGCATTATCTTATTTAATATTCTCAATAATGCTGTTAGACCACCCCTGTGATCACTGCTTTTTGACACATGAGGTAGGTGAGGCAAGAAAAAGTTACATAGCTTGTCCCAGGCTACATGAATAATTAATAGTAAGACTTTGATTTGAAGCCAGCCATATCCACCCCAGAGGACCTCCCCCCCTTTATTATCATACCATGCACCCTCTCAGTGTCCTGAAGCATATTATGTTCATTTCAGGTTCTATCAGGGCTCATAGTTCTTTCTGGAAGTCACCACCTGTACATTCACTGGACATGACATCTTTGCCCAGCTCACTAATAATCAGTCTTCAGAATTCAGCTTAAATGTCACCTCCATAGGGAGGTCCACCTTAATTACACCGATCTCATCAGCTCCCCCCACCCCCTTTCTCCCTGTCTTCTATTTTCACTCTGCTTAATGTTCAGCTCAAACACAACAATTCTAATCTCATCAGGGCAGAGGCACCCAACACACAAAAGGTGCTTACTGAATAAATATTAATTGAACGGAAAGCTGGAAGAAACCAATGTCCCAAGGAGAAACAGCCAAAAGGGAGGTAACAGGTTGGGAGCAGAGCCTGTGCTAAAGTCCTTTTTCCTAAATCACATCCTGTTTCCTTCCTGATGAAGGGCTCAACTTTTAGTAATGGAGGAAAGCCCCACCAGGGCCCAATTTCTTCTGTTTTGATCTCTGAGAGATTGTAGACTGGGCCACAGTTGGCAAATGCAGGTCTGCATTCCCGTTAGGCTCACCCTGGGATGTTTTCACTGTCGGAGAACAAGAAGGCATCCACTTGACAGAACACATTGTGCCCCAGAGCACAAGTAAGGATTTCTGGAGGTGGGAAGGAGAAGGAATCCAGCTTGAGAGGAGGCGCCCAAGATGGCAACATGTCCACCTTGTGGAATTCTGAGTGGCATTATCATGTCACCTTGCAGCTTACCTTAGTGGGGTGAAGACAATGGGGTGGGGAGGAGAGGTCCCACAGCAGCTCTCTACAATGACTGAGAGGAGCCATGTGGCCAACTTGTTTTTCAACACCTCATGAGCCCCCCGACCATTGCCACCAATGAGTGTCTGGTTGGTGGCAGTTAGATTTTTCAGATTAGAGTGCAATGTTTCTTGAAAACAGAGATAGCCCCGTCCCTAAATCAGATACACATAAATTCAGGCATGCAGAAACTCTTGATAGTTTTCATTTCATCTGCTTTTTGCAGATTTAGTTACTTTTCTTTTTTAAAATATTTTATTTATTTATTCATGACAGACACACAGAGAGAGAGAGAGGCAGAGACTCAGGCAGAGGGAGAAGCAGGCTCCATGCAGGGAGCCTGATGTGGAACTCGATCCCAGGTCTCCAGGATCACACCCTGAGCTGAAGGCGCTGCTAAACCGCTGGGCCACCGGGGCTGCCCCGACTTAGTTACTTTTCATGGGCATTGTTGTTAGCAAAGCACAGAAACATTTTCAAAAATAACAAGTTAAAGTCATACAAGATTCATCAGAAAAAGACACTACCTCTGACATGTGGTCTTTAAGCCTTGAGCCTTTTGCGGATGCTAGTCTTCAAGGCGGAGTCTGGGATGGATGACAAAACAATGTGACCAACTTTTAAAAAAGGACAATCCTAAGCAAACAGCTCCTAAGAAAGCCAGATGTTTGTTCTGATGCTGCGGGGAATGCTGAGAAGAGTTTTGGCAACTCCCCTTCATTCACTCATTGAATATTTACTGGGGGGATAACACAGCAGGTTGTGTGCTAGGAGCAGAGGATGAAGCTGGGACCACATTGACCTGGTGCTGCCTTGACAGGGAGCAGGTTCTGATAAAAGGATGGCACAAATGTCGAGCTACCCTGTGGTGAGTGCCACAGGGACCAACCATCCGAAGCCATACCAGGGGACCCTCCTCAGCCTCAGAGGAATTAGGGAGGGCTCTCAGGGAAGGAGATATTTGACCTGAGGTCTGAGAAGGGGAAACCCGAGAGGGCGGGGATGGGGTGCTGCAGGCAGAGGGGAACTGTACACACGCTCCATCAAAGCAGGGGTGCAGCTTAAACTCCTTGTCCTTCCAAGCCACATGGAGGGGACTTTGGACTTGGCTACCAAGACATAAAATTCAGTCTCACTTCTATGGTTCAGTGTGGGAGGCTTTCCATGAGTTTTTCCCCCAAACACTAGGCAAGAAGGGTCTTCCGTCTGAAACCTCTTTCTGGGTTGATGCTGAGCACTGTGTAGGGGGACAGCAAACATTCAGTGACTTTCTTACTCCCATGAGGCCAGGCTTGATTTCTGGGGAAAATCAAGTTCACCCAGAACAAGGGTGCTGACCCAGCAGGGTGCCTGATGTTGGCCACATCATTTCAGCCAAGCCAAGATGTGGTGTTGACCCTGTATTTCCACTCATACTCAGAGCCCACCAGGAGAATCTATCTATCTCAGCTCTGCTGTGCCTGGATGGGGCAGGCCTAGTGTTGTTTTCCAGTGTTCATCCTCTTTTAGGGCTCAGGCCATAAAGAACAGTCAGCACACAAATGCTCCCGCTCATCCAACAGCGCATCTGTCTTCAATTACACTTGTCGATCTTCTCTCTAAATGAATCCGTACGTGATGCACATAAAGCACTGGCACTGCCAGGAGCTCCACATAAGCACTCCCAGTTAGCTCTTGTCATCCTTATTGTCGTTAGTATCCAGTAAGATTCGAACTCTTAGCCGACAGAGAGCATATCTCAACTAGAGTGTATCTTAATTACCCTTTTTTGTTTCAGTCATAGAAAAGTTCTGGACAGAACATAGTGGACACTCAATAAATCTTTCTTTTGGGCAGCCCCAGTGGCTCAGCGGTTTAGCGCCGCCTGCAGCCCAGGGTGTGATCCTGGAGACCCGGGATCGAGTCCCACGTCGGGCTCCCTGCATGAAGCCTGCTTCTCCCTCTGCCTGTGTCTCTGCCTCTCTCTCTCTCTGTCTCTCTCATGAATAAATAAAATTTTAAAAAAATATAAATAGATCTTTCTTTTTTTTTTCTTTTAAGAGAAGGATGGGGGGAATTGGCAAAGGGAGAACAGAGAGACAGATCTTAAGCAGGCTCCATGCCCAGCGCCGTGCCTGATGCAGCAGCTGGATCCTGAGATCATGACCTGAGCTGAAATCAAGAGTTGAATGCTTAACTGAGTCACCCAGCTGCTCCGATAAATATTTTTTATAAATGTTTTAATTAAAATGTACTTAAAATGTTTAAATCATTCAGTGTCTGAATAAATTGTTGACACAGGACAGAGAACACAACCAAGTTGAGAGCCCAGTCATGGGAATAGCAGATCAGGGATTAAACTGGCTCCTCCATCTACTAGCCATGGGACCTTGAACAAAGGGCTCAATTTCTTTGAGCCTCAGCTTCCTCATCTGTGAATTGGGAAGATAATGATGCCGAAGTCACAGGCCGTGAGATGAATGGAAAAACGCATGTAAAGTACTATGTACAGTATAGCACATTCTAGATGTTCAATAAACATTCCTTATTATCGCCACTGTCAGCAGAACTCAAGACCAAGAAAACATTCAACTGCCAACCTTCACGGATATTTTAAGGAGCTCTTACAGAGAATGAAAAAATATTTCTCTAGTGATTGTTTCTAAACATGTTTTAATAGGCGACTGGTACATATCTGGTAGGAAATCACTTCTGGCTATATCCTGAACTTTTTTTCCATGAGTGGGAGGACTCATTGCATCTACTTCCTCTGAGAAGTGGCATAACACAACTTGCCCCCCACTCTTGCCCCAGTGAAGACAATCTCCCTAAAAGGCTCAAAGAGAAGCAGCCCTGAGGACCTTTCACCTTTGGCACTTGGAGAAGGCTCCCCTGGTACTTGGGTACCCCTGTCACCAGAGGCTCGCAGCACTGCTAGGAGGCTGGAGCCCCTGCCCATTGCAGAAGAAACCTGGGTTTCTTCAGAGAGTTTAAGTAACCTGCCCAAGGCCACACAACTAACAGGAAGCAGAGGTGGATTATGAACCCAGGTGAGGGCTGTTCATAGGGGCTGAAGGTCAGCAGCCCCTGAAGGAGGAAATAGCCTGTAAGTAAATAAAGGACAGGGCCACACAGTCCATCAGAGCAAGAGTTCAAGGGAAGAGCCTGTGCATGGCCCACACAGAGTACCCCACAAGTAATTTTACTGCTCCATTACGATAAACTTGAACACAACGGTGAAAGGTTGCAAGGTCCACTGTGGTCCTGTTTTTTTCACCTCCTCAAGAGATCTTCAAGGGCCCTGCACCAGCGGCCCCAGGCAGGAAGTCAGCAGCTCCTGCACACTGAGCCCTGACCCAGGCCCCCCTGCTATATGCACCGGTCACCTCCTTCCATCCTCCCGGCGCCCCTCAGGCCGCGATCAGCACCGTTCCCATTTAACAGACAGGCACAGCGAGGCCCGCGGTGACTTAGAGGGTGGTCCGACAGCGGAGCGCTCGCTGTCAGCCTGGCGAGACCGCCACCCCCTCCCTCCCGGCTCCCTCCACGCCCCCTTTCCCAAAAGCCGAGCTGCAGGGCTGTCCCGGCGGGCGGCCAGCAGGGAACCGAGGGCCGGCTGGGCTGGGCTGGGCGGAGCGAGCTGGGCCGGGCCCTCTCCCCGGACTCGGCGCGCGCGGGCGGGGGCCGCGAGGTTACCGTGTCCGCAGCGGCGGGGCGGCGGGGCTGGCGTCCGTCTCGGTCCCTCCGCGGCCGGGGTCTGGGGCCGCCCGCAAGAAAGCGAAAGTAAAAGCCGGGGCGGCCGAGGGCGGAGTCGCGCGGGCCAGTCCCCGGGGCGGGGCGGGGTCGGGGTCTGGGGCGGGGGGCGGGGCTGTAGGCGGGGCCGGGGCCTGGGGGCGGAGTCGCGCGGGCCAGTACCCCGGGCGGGTCGGGGTCTGGGGCGGAGCCGGGGGCGGGGCCTGGGGCGGCGGGGGCGGGGCTGTAGGCGGGGCCGGGGCCTGGGGGCGGAGTCGCGCGGGCCAGTCCCCCGTGGGGGGCAGGGCCTGGGGCGGGGCCGGGCCAGGGCGGGGCCGGGCCAGGGCGGGGCCGGGCCAGTCCTCCGCGCGGAGCCGGGGCCGGGGGCCGAGGGCGGGGTCGCGCGGGCCAGTCCCCCGTGAGGGGCGGGGTCGGAGGCGGGGCCGGGGCGGGGCCGGAGGCGGGGGCGGGGCCGGGGCCCCTCCTCCCGCTCCCGCGGCCGCGCTCTCCCGGAGGTGTCTCGCGCGCCCCGCGCCCTGCAGAACGCGGCGGGCCGCGCGCGTGGCCGGGGACGGGGCAGGCGCCCCGGCGAAGTTGGCCGCGCACCCGGACGGCGCCTCGGAGAGTTCGCCGACAGCTCTGCGGTCCCGCCGCGGCGCCCGCAGCCCGGGAGAGCACCTGCTGAGCCCGCGGCGGCGCCCGAAGCGACCCGGGGGCGCGCTCTGCACCCCGCGGACTTGGCGGCGCTCGAGGACCGGGCGCCCGCCGGGCTCCCCGCCTTCTCCCCGCCCGCTGCGGCCCCCCGTCCGCACCCCCACTCGGGCCCCCGCACCGGCAGCGGGGACCCCGTTCCCACAGCCAGAGGGCGTTTCCCCCGCCGGGCCCCCGACCCTGGGAAGGGGGTGCTCGGCGCCCGCAGCCGCTGGAGTCACGGTCTCCGGGGCCGGCCTGGAGGCGCCGGTGGGCGTGCGGTGTCCACTCGCGGGGGCGCCTCGGCTCGCGCGGGGGCGGCAGGACTCGAACTCCGCTCCCCGGGGGCGAGCTCCCGCCTCGCGGCGCGGCCAACTTGTCTGGAGGTCCCTGCAGGGTAGTGAGCGCCCCCACGTGTCGGCCGCTGGGCAGGGGCCCCTGGTCCCGCCCGGCTGCTGCTCCCACACCCCCGCACTCCGCCTTTCTTCACCCTTGGGCCGCAGCCGGCGCCTGCAAGCCTTTCTCTCCAAGAGGCCTCAGGGACAGCAACTAATTAACTAATGACGTGTTGAGGCTCTGAGAAGAAAGGACACTTTTTTTTTTTTAAGATTTTGTTTATTTATTCATGAGAGACATAGAGAGAGAGGCAGAGACACAGGCAGAGGGAGAAGCAGGCTCCATGCACTGGGAGCCCGACGTGGGACTCGATCCCGGGACTCCAGGATCGCGCCCTGGGCCAAAGGCAGGTGCTGAACCACTGAGCCACCCAGGGATCCCCAAAATGACACTTTTATTTATACCGGAAATAATTGCGTTTAAAGAACTTCCTGGGCCTTGAATGAATGGAAACCTTCATGGCGTGAGATCGGGCAAGAACCACATCTTGTCTTTCTGTTTGCTTGCTTTACCCTGGGCCTCAGACTTCAGTATTGTCTCTAGGATCTCGCCCAGGTGAGGACACTTTCTTGGCTTAAGAAAGACTGGCCCCAGGTAAGTGTCAGGGCATAATTATAATTTATTAACTTCTGGGAAAATTTTAAGCAGTTTCGTTATTTTTCCATTGACTGTGGAATAGGCTGAAAGTTTGTGTGCCTCACTCCCATTCGTGTGTTGAAACTTGATGCTCAACGTGATGGTATTAGGAGTTGGGGCTTTTGGGAAGTGCTTAAATCATGAGGATGGAGACCTGGTGAGTGGGATTAGTGCCCTTCTAAAAAGAGGCTGGACAGAGCTTTCTGGTTCTTTCTACCCTCTGAGGATGTAGGCAGAAGTTACTGTTTGCATCCCCAGGGAGGGCTCTTACCAGAAGCTTGTTATGCTGTCACCCTGATCTTGGACTTTCTAGCCTCCAGAATGGTGAGAAATCAATTTTTGGTGTTTATAAGCTACACAGTCTGTAGTATTTTGTTATAGCAGCCCAGACTGGCTGAGACAGGCTGCACTACTCTTTCAATCATGTTTCTGAAATGTAGATGGTAACTAAGTCCTGTAGACACTGAGATAATTTGCTTTTTGAAGGAATTTGATTGTGAATCATTTAAGAAATGAAAACTCCCTATCAGTAAAGAAAATTAGTTACTGATCCATAAATTTGATTTAAACTAAGTTTTTTGCAAGTTATTCATGAAAGAGAGTGAAACACAATGTTAGATTTTGGAAAGGGCCTTAGCAACAAATCCCTCTGCTCATTTTATAGGAAAAGAATCTGAGGCTCAGAGGAGTGGCCCCTATCCCAGACTTGGCTAGCGGCAGAGCCAGGACCAGGTTGCCTAAAAAATAATGAATTTTCCATTCACAAGAAGGCTCTACCATAGGTTATATAATGCTAACGTTAAAACGTACTGCACACAGGAATTCATTGCTGGCTCAGGAAAGATGTGTGTGTGTGTTTTTTTAAAAGATTTTATTTATTTATTCTTGAGGGACACAGAGAGAGACAGAGACACAGGCGGAGGGAGGAGCAGACTCCATGCAGGGAGCCTGATGTGGGACTCGATCCTGGGACTCCAGGATCACGCCCTGAGCCAAAGGCAGATGCTCAACCACTGAGCCACTCAGGTGTCCGTAGAAAGATGGTTTGAAGGAAAACTTTTTTTTTTCTTTTTCAGTTCCTTCTTTCTTTTTGCACTTTCTTTCTGGTCTGGAGAACTGTAAAGTTGTTGTTCACAGTATTAACAAATAAAATCGTGGGACAATGGAAGGGAAGAAATAATTTTGAATTTTTCCCTTATAATAATTATAATTTGGATCTAAAAGACAATTCTAACTATTTCGTATATCTCTCCAATCTTGGCCCATGTCATTGTTTTAAGCTTCCTTTCCATACTCACATGATTGCCCCATGAGTCTTCCTCTTCACCCCAGAAAAATCCCCCAACCTGATTATTCAGATGGTTTCCTGAGGGCTAGCCTCGTGGGTGCTCCTGGGCTGGTTCCTCTGGCACTTTCTTTTTTTTTTTTTTTAATAATAAATTTATTTTTTATTGGTGTTCAATTTACCAACATACAGAATAACACCCAGTGCTCATCCCATCAAGTGCCCCCCTCAGTGCCTGTCACCCATTCACCCTCACCCTCTGGCACTTTCTTCTGGTCCTTCCCTCCGGCCCTGGTGAGACCTCCTCCCAATAGGCACAGCACCCCCAAGGAGTGCCACCGGTGATACTTCTCCCATTCTTCACAGCACAGCTCAGGGCAGGCTGCAGGAGGAAGAGGTTTTGCTTCCTGGTTCTGGTGTGTCTGGTGTGCTCCTGGAGAATCAGGTTCTTATAGAAGTTTCTCCAGTGCCCAGCTACCGCTATGCTTGGTAGTCAGCAGAACCCAGCAACACTGGCACTCCTTCAGATGCTTTTGTAGCAGAATTCTCCCATTGAGATACCTCCCTATGAACTGCTCTCTCTAGCATCCAGAGGGTAGGCTTCCAGAAAGTTCTAGAGGACAAATTTCTAGCAAGTTCCACCAGAGTGGCACCACAGTGATTTCTCTGCCATCTAGTGAGCCACAGCCATACTCTCCAACAAGATTTGGATCTCAGCCTTGGGGTAGGGAGGGTGGGGTGCTCTCTATCCCAGCTCTTAAGTTGGGGTAGCTGTTATGTTATGTTATGTTCCCACAGTGGTAATTAGCTCAGAATAATACATTTGACTTCATTAGCTCTTCTTTCTCTGGCTCACTCAAACTCTCACTCCTGCCTTATGGAAGCACTTCCCAAGTAAACTATGTGCATCCAAGTCCTTGCCTCAAGCTCTGCTTTTGAGGGAACCTAAACTAAGGTTGACACCCCCCTCCCCCCTCCCCAGCATTGGGGGAACAACTCCAGTCCAAGCAAAGTGACATGGCAAAGGGTAGGGAGATTTCTCCTCATTCTGAATTGGTCATCTCTGCAATTTTAAAACCATTTCACATCCACGGCCCTGGAGGGCACTGGAAATGACTCAGAGCCAGGAAGAATTACCTCATATTCTGGATGACAGAACCAAGGTACCAAAAGATCTTGCCCAGCTGAAGCCAGGGGGCCACCCTCAACTGGAGGAAATTGAAGAGCTGAGTAAGTGCTGTGTTTAAGTTCAAAAAGAAAATAAATTACACACATACTGAACACGACCGCCATTAATATAAAACAAAATGTGGGGTTTTTCACCGATCACAATCTCCCTATGAGTCAAGACTTTAAAAAGTCAAAGAAACATGGGGCAGTGTTGGCAGAAGCATCCAAACCGACGACCAGGACTCTCCACTGTCTGGCCCTGGGTCACCACAACCCAGCCCAAGTCCTGGGCTCTCTGCTGATCGGACAGCCTATGAGACCCCTCTCAGGAGCCACGTTAGATCGATGCAGCTTCACCTGTCTCAGGACCTGTGTCTGCTTGTGCCCATCCAGCCCCAGCAGGGGCAGCTAGCTCAGTGTGAGCTTCCATCTTCACAGGGGCACGGCCAACAGTATCTTTGGCCTTCTGTTGCCCCTGCTCTCTTCCCCTGTTGCTGTTGAGGCATGATGCTGGGGGATGCCATGAGCATACACAGAGCATGGATGTGCAGAGGTATAACTTTCACCAAAGGGAGACAGGCCCATAGATACATTCTTCCACCTTCCTTCCCATAGCAGGTGTTCCCTGTAGCAGTTGTTTATATGGCCTCTTGGAAGATGGGGATCAAGCAGTCCAATGCACCTCACATCAGCTGGTGGCTACTTTGACAATTAACCTTCCTATTGACTGTCACCTCTCTCTTTCCTGCGTCCTTACTTCTGCTCCCTGGGACAACCCCTCTGAATAAAGTCCTTGAACATGTTCTTTGCCTCATGTTGTGTTTTCTGGAACCCAAGCTAAAATGTGCTGAACCAATCCCAAAAGCCACAGGAATGTAG